CATGTAAAGGTATAATTCATAATAATATCTGATGTTGAGCTAAACAGTCACAAGATGTTTCTGTTAGTAAGCATATTGCAGTAGCATCTGTAGAAGGAAAAGTTCTCTGAGAGAAAAAATAACATGGTAGCATAAGTATAAGGGATATTGAGCTGTAACTCGCATGACATAAGTATAAGGGATATTGAGCTGTAACTCGCATGACATAAGTATAAGGGATATTGAGCTGTAACTCGCAAGACATAAGTATAAGGGATATTGAGCTGTAACTCGCATGACAGTGAACAAACGATTCAAAATATTTTGTTTCAATCTGTCATTTTCAAAGATGTAATTAAGTAACACACAATATCTAGAAAAAATGTTACACGTGAACCTTACAGGTTTTCTTCAGTTTCTTGTAATCTCTCCCGAAGGAGTTTCAGCTCTGCAGATAGTTCCTGGTTGTTCAAGTGACTGTTAAACTCTCTTTCTCGATTGGATACCAACAAACCCTCCAAATTTAGGACGGATGCCTTTTCATTGGCTAACTGAATTTTCAAAGATGAAATCTCCTCAGTTAATTCTTTATTGTGATCAGAAAGCTGAAACAAAGAAAAAAGAAATGATTTATAATATCAAAGCTAAAATAGAATGATCGATTTTATAATGGAAAACACAATGATATAACAAAAGGAGAAAAAAATTTACTTACAACAAATAGACTAAAGCTGAAATATTATTATCCACTCATTTTAGGATATACCCATATTACCGAAAAATGAAAACAATTTAAAATGAATTCTCAGTGTTATTAGAAAATTACATCTTAATTTACTCGAAATGAGAATTAAAATAGTGAAAAATAATTTTTGGTTTTGACAGTTTGTATTTTTCAATTTTATATACTGAAATTCTATACAATTAGAACAAAAACATGATGAAGCATATTGATTTTCTTAGTCCAAATTAGAGAACTCTATAAAAACAGCAACTTTATTTTTGTCAAGCAAATTTATCATTTATTTAAATCAAAATTTGATGCATATAATTACTCAGTATATAATAATTAAAAACAGAAACTGTGTCATCTTATATGTAATTATCTGTATCACAATAATTATTATTATTTTTTATCACTAATGTTTTGTTTTCAAAAATAGTTATTGTCACACTCAATGTATAAAAAATAAAAATGTCATATTTTCTGGGAATTATAACACCTAAATAAGAAGTTATTAGAATTTTTTAAGTGATATGTTTGTTTGTTATTTAATAACAAAAATTATATTTCAAATGTTTAATATTTTATAATACTAGTTTGGAACATTAAGTGATGTCGTGTTATTCAGGCCCACTGATATCTGACAGCAAAGAAAAGAAACACACACAGGGAACAAGTAAAACAAAATTTTTATACATATAAGTTGTGTCAGCCTTCTCAGATACTGGTTAGCTTACAATTTTTCCTTAATTCTTGTTGGCTGTCAGAGTGAGAGGCTCTCTTTATTTCAAAGTCCATACAAAACTACTTGCACAGAGTAAAGAGAATTTTGATTTATTTCAGAAATTTAGACCTAACTTTAAAAACTTGCTATACCAGAATCCAATGTTATAGATATTAGACTATTTCAAACAACATTTATAGGGGAGAAAAAAACCCTTAATTTAGATTAATTTTTATATATACATCTGTGCCACTCCTTGAGAAGGGATCACCCTCACCCATCACAGGGAGATCAGACACAGGACCAAAGTTGATACAAGTTCCCACCCACTGGCATATGCAAGCTCCATACAGATAAAAGGACTAGTACATGTTTACAATCTTTCAGCAGTCAGTTAAAATATTTACTCGAATATGTCTGGCTAAAGATATATTCTAAAGTAGTGTTGAAAAGGTCATTACAATGTACTATATATTCACGTAGAACTTCTTGCTTAGTGAAAAGTACTACAATCAATCAATTAAAATACAAAAAAAACATTTTATGAAAAATTTATAGTTAAGTCATCCTGAGCCAGATTTTGACCAAATGAAAGATAATTCATTCATACATTCAATGGGGAGAAGGAGTAAAGATTAGGCTACTCTCACAGACTTTCTCTATGGAAAATAATATAAAAACTCTGTTATTTCTTAACATAATCACATGGCTACCATTTGGCATATTAATGATTTTGAATTCTGTATCTCAATAAGCAATATTAATAATGCAGCACAAAGATCTCCAAAGCAGTGAGACCAGTCTTTTTTAGTTGGAAATAGTTAATTTTATCACAACTTATTTTCGTGGATATGAAGTTTACATTCGAGAAAGGCCCTATAGATCAATAGTTTTCAAGCTTTTTACAGGTCTAGTACCCCCTTTTTGGATTTAATAAAGATTTTGTACCTTGACCATATGGCATAATCATTACCATTATTTATTTCTTTTTTATTATTTTCACATACTTTTTAATGATTGACTGCATGCTTCAATAAGTACAACATTTTGGGAAACACTGCTTTAGATATGGCATTGACTATGATATCATTTTGGTAACTGTGTGGAAAATTCCTCACAGCTCTGTGTCATTCCAATGATTAGTTTTGAACCACATAAAACAGCATAAAGACTTCATTTTTTGACAGAATTTTTCTCTGCACCTACTTTACAATGCAAAACATTGTCCAGCAATTTAGTGTTATCACTCTTTGTTGTCATTTGCAGTTTACCTAAGTGTGATCCCTCTTCCAAATAACCCACCACTAGTTGTTCTGCAGCAGTTGGATACAAGATCATTGAGCACTGATACACACTATTTGCCATACTACTTTCTACTTTGTCATTGAAACTGTTATGCCCTTATGATATTTATTTTGTGGCAGCTTTTCCAATTAAGTATCATTCTACATCAATAGGTCATACAAAGTCCTCAACTACAGGTAAAATATTCTATTTGTTGTCTACTGCCATCATCTTGGTCAGTATTAGAAAAACCACCAGAGGAAAAAGTAGCATAATTTTGTTTATCTTTCCATTTAAACTCTTTCTTTGCTTCTTGAAATTATTCTCTTTTATCATGCTGAGGAATGGCTAGAGCTCTCCAAGTTTAAATCATTATACTCTCATTTAAGTGTCAAAAAAGAAATAAAATGTTGTCAGTATTATAAAAAACAAATAAAAAGGTAGTGTTGCATTTGGGTTTTCTCAGCAACCGACACACTTGCCAAGAAACACCTGCTGCAGTTCAAAAACTCTATAGGTACAAGCAGATATATATTTTTATACAGTTCAAAATGTTTCCACATGTGGCATGTTGTGAAATCCCATCTTTAGTGCTGTAGTTGACTAATAAAATGAGGGATTTTGATATATGTAATCATTGAAGAATTCCTCAAATCCTACAGATGTAACACGAGAAAATATTACATTATGTACAAACAATGGAAAATAGCAAATACTATATATGAAAGAGCCACAAGAAAGAATACCCAAAACCTACAGTAAAATTTGTTTCTTTTCCTATAAATTCTGTTCTTTCCTTTAACAACACACTAACCCACCTTACTATTCTCTGATTCTGTATTGGCAAGTCTCTGCTGAAGCTTATTACGAGTAGCCTCCAGTTGGCTGCAAAGTTGGTGAGCTGCATACAATTCTTCTTGAAGCTTCTTAGTGTTGTGGTGTGACTGTTGTACTTCCATCTCTAATCCCCCAATTGAGCTATTGAGACTAGAGAGCTGGAATTCATAATTCTGTTGAGCTGACAGATGCTGAAACAAAAAAGGTGGACCACAAAACTGTAAAAAAAAGGGTATTAAATACAGATCCCCTAACATAAGTAACCAAAAAAAAGTAAAAGAGAAAAGTAATGGAAAGGTGACTGCTCTCCAAAGTAAAAGAAAAATGAAATAAGATACTACCACTTGGGGGTAAGTAAGCATTCAAGCCCCCATTATAGTAGTAAAGCCCTAATTTAACTTAATTAGTAGTACAATAGATAAATTATACTAGTATACAGTTATAAAAGATCAACCAAGTTATCTAGTTATAATTTTCCTAAACTGAAAATATATTTCCAATAGGCACTTACTTCCCCTCACATAAATAGCTATTCTCATTCAGTGCTTCCCTCTATATGCAATTTTTTTTTCTGCATGCAACAAGCCTTGAGCTCCCACATACCCGATGATCAAAGGGTTCAACTGCGTTTCACATGTAAATCATCATGAGACAACTCTCCACCATTAGGAGTGCGACACACTCTCCTGATGCATGTGACTCTCTCTTTTCACTTCTACCAAACTATCATTTCAAGTTTTTGCAGAAAATGGAAGCACCAGTTTTCAGTGGGAAGGAAGGGTGGTAAGTATGAGCGGAGGCAAGTAACTATCAGAAATATATTTTCAGTATAGGAAAATTACAACTTCCGATACAGTACATTACCTTCCCTCACATAAATAGCTAGAATTCCACATTGAATAGCTAGAGGGACACGAGGGAAAAAAGAAGAATGAAAATAGAAGCAATACCCGAAAGCATCCAAAGAACACCCTAAAAGAGGAAATCCTAGCATTAGAGAATCATATGTGGGAGACTGCACCACTTCTGTAACAGGTATACTTTTCACCCAGTGTGGAAAGAGGTGTTGCAGACAAAGGCAGAAAATTGGAGGAGCACATCCAAAAGGGAGAGAACAATGGTTGGATAGCGATCCAAATCACACAAGATCTGAATTTCAATCCCATTAATGTGGGTGAGAGTAAAAAAGGAATGTGCGGCTATGTGTAGAGTGGCTAGGGCATGATGGACTGTACACAGGAAGTCAACTGCATCCAAAAACCCAGCTGCCAGGAACCGACATCCACATGGTGTAGGATGAGGATCATATTGTTGGTAAGTCAACTCCAATCCAAAACCCATTCACCAGGAACTGACATCCATGTGGGGGAAGGAAAGAATATCAAACCAACAGCAAGTCAACTACAATCCAAAACCCAGCTACTGGAAACCAACATCCATATGGAGGTAGGAAAGAGGATCATTCCAATGGCAAGTCAACTACAACCCAAAACCCAGCCATCTGGTGGGGATAGAAAAGAGGATCAGCAGACTGGAGGAAAATCTCAGACTCACCAATCTGTAAATGGGACACATGATAGCAATGTGATAAATTGTTTGATCGATCTGGGAATCCAACACCCAGATGATCAGCATAATAAAGATGTCTCTGTAAACTATCTCACTCAAAACAAATCCAACCCAGAACCACCCCCAGTGCAATAACATCCTTGGAATATGAAAAACATGGAAGGATAGTGTAAGAGGAAGAACTGTATTAATCTTCAAGTTCCACCACCGTGACCCACAACATGGGTGAAGTGAACAAGAGTACAATTGAGTATGGGAACAGAGACACCTGGAATACATGTGTGAGGACTTATGTTGATTGATTCAGCTCTGAATCCAAAACCCAGGCACTATGAACCGATATCCATGTGGGAGTAGGATGAGGGATCCCAATTGAAGGGGTGAAATGCAATTCTAATGGCTCACTCCAAAACTACAACATCCCCTTGGATAGACCTGTACAGAGGTGGAGCATCAGACTGGAGGACATCTCATCATTTACACCTGCAGAACACCACCACCCTACTCTCAATGGAATGGTTTTATTATTGTTTGTATTGTATGTCACATCATATTCTGGAGGATGCATCCATGATCCACCACCCCAGTGGCTTGAAACTGGAAAGTGGTAAGGGCTCCCATACTCCAATGGAAGAAAAAGGGGGAGAAAATGGGTGGAGAGTCTGAAGGAACGTCCACACTGGAGACAGTTCAATGGGTGACCACGAAACCCTATTTTGAAAAGCAGACCAAACCTGATTTATTCAATCTAGGAAATAACAAGGATAGGCAGCTATTCCCTTCTGCTTTACCCAGGAAGTCCATGAGTTAGTATGGTTCAGCATATTTAGGAAGCAAATATATTGAGAAGAATAACCTATGAGCAATCTTGTGGAACACCCTATCTCTAGATTATGCAGTTGTAATGAACAGTGTGCAACTTTTGGCCATAGAAATTATGAAAGTGAAGTCAATATGGCCTTACAGTGCGAGTTTTAGTACAATTTTAAGTGATTGAAATATACCTGGACAGGCACCACTCACCACAGAGTGAGATCCTGGGCAATAATATGGGACAGGCCCCTGAAAAATAAGATATATAACAAAAGAAAGAAAACTTACCCAGTTACAGTCTCACAGAAGAGTGAAGAATTGTGACAGGTGGATGACAGTATCCAGACAAGGAAGAAATAGCTCTCCAAAGCAGAGAATGGGAAATAAACATGAGGTGTGGTCCCAGTGCTCAACAGACAAAGTACCTCCAACAGGGTTCATATGCAGGGAAAATGGAAGGTGCCTGACTGAAGTGAAGACACCAGGAATTGATTATGGGAAGAAGGAGATAAGAAATATTAGGCGAATCGAATCACAATCCTAACCCACTGGGTAAGGGAGGAAGGGAAAAAAGAATGGGAAGGTTTCCACACATGGAAAATGAATAGATATTACAATGTCTCAGAATGAAACAAAAGAGCAACCAAAAAAAAGGAAAAAAAAAAAAGAAAACACAGCACATACCCACATGATGGTAAATGTACAGGAGTCGCGCCAAGAAATGGACCGGTGGATAAAAAGAGCTGACCGTAAGCCCCCTATTAGAAGTGGATGGTAAACAAATGGTACAAGACAGTGTCCCACCCCAGAAGATCCCAAAAGCAAAGAAGCAAAGTGTGAAGGGAAAGAACTGAAGATGGTAAACACCCCAACATGGAGGGATGATGGAGTAGGTATCCCACAAAATCCCTAAATATATGTGAAATGCCTAAGAAAGGACATGTAAGGTAAACATTATCTGTAGGAGAGTTGATAGGGTAAGATGAAGCTGAAAAACTATGTAGAGGATAAAATGGATAGGATTAACAGAGGATGCCCCAACACAAGCAACAGAGATCCTAAGGATATATAATAAAGAAGAAAATCTGCCAGATGGTAAGCTGAGACAAAAAGAACCAAAGCCTGTATAGAGTGAGGCTTGCAACTCCCAGCAGAGAGACAAAAATGTCTGGAGAAAGAGGGGGAATATTATACTGTGAAACATGTCTTAAAAAAAAAACTGAGATAGGCCTAGCATATTCTGCAGTAGAGGCCTGGAAAGGCAAGCTATAATCAGGCAGAAAAAAATTTACAAAATCTAGGCCATCTGAAATAGGTGCGGCTGTTGTAGGAGGAAGGCGAGCAATATTGGGAGAAGTTAGAATGATGAAAATGAAATAGTCAATATTGTAAATGTTAAGAAATTGTGTAGTAAAATAAACATATGTATTAGAGGATGTAATAAAGAAAATAAGATATTTAACCTATTTATCGATTTACCTGTAAATAGACCTACAGATAAACCGAAAATAACACACTCGTTAAGCCTAATTGAACAATGCAGGACAAAGTATATTATTAAGCTCTAAATTAAAAATCCTAACCTAATAATAAGTATGTACAATACTGGGAGAAGTTTGTGTGGACCCTAGTTCCACACAAACCAAGTTAATATGAAGAAGTAGAAAAGATAAATAATAACAACAATGAAATAGATGTTATTAGGTAAAAATAAGTGTGTATTAACAATGACATATGTATGAGATGTAATGTATGGAAGAAAAAGAATATAGTTAACCTAATGATTGATATACCAGTAAGATGAATTACAGGTAATCCTAAATTAACAAAGACCCATGTTAAGCCTAATCAAATGGTATAGGACAAAGGATATAACTAAGCCTAATTTTGAACCTGAATTTGATTATTGACCAATCTAACAAAACTTATATTATGGAACCCATATAACTACATATAATAATATTAACAATAAAAATATTGAAAAACCATAATAGTATAACATTTTATCTTTCCAAAGTCTGTGGACTGTATTTGAAAATGTGTGGGCCCCCAAATACAAGTTGAGGCCTGATTAAGTTCAGCTCACTGGACAATCAATCTCCTGACAAAGTAAAACCCATAATTCCTCAGTGGAGTACTGCCACCTGAAACCTGTGTAAATGTACTGATAGAACATATAACCTCTAAAGTGGTAACTGAGAATTTAGAATTTAAAATAAATAACCAAACACAACCGCATTGACAAAAATAAACAAAAGGTTTATGTAATGAAATAATAAGTTCCATAACTGGGTAGAAATATAAAATAAATCCACTTCGGAATAACTCATGTTACAAATATCAATGTAGTATAGTAAATAGTAAACTTGTTGAGAGAAACTTATACAAGGTTATGGAAAAAAAAACACTTGAAGAGAGCACAAACTAAACAATATGAGCACTGCCAAATGAGAAGTGATAGTTCACTAGAAGTGAATAGAGGGAGTCACATGCATTAGGAGAGTGTGTTGCATTCCTATTGGTGGAGGGCGCATGATGATTTACATGCAAGATGTGGTTGAACCATTTGATTGTAAGGTATGTGGGAACTCAAGGCTTGTGGCATGCAAAAAATTGTTTTTGCATATAGAGGGCAGCATTGAATAAGAATAGCTATTTATGTGAGAAGAGGTAATGTACCATATCGCATCTAACTATTATAATTCCCAACCACCAAATCTTCTGAAACAGATGACCAAGTAAACTAAAAAATACCGTTGGTAGCAAATAAGCTTGTGTGACACAATTACCAGAACTTTCCCACAGAATATATCATAATCCCATCCCTGAGATCACAGTGCGAGAGGATTTATCGGCTTGTTTTATAGTACAGTAGTTGCAACAAGAATTGTCTAAGGTAATAAAAGCGAGAGAGAAAAATGTTTATGATATGCACAAAGTCCAGGCCAACCTAATAAGGTTGCCGGGTGTTTGGATGTTAGATATCCTCCCAGAATTTAGTGTTTAGTGGTATAGGTGTACAAAGTATCTAAGTGCTTGTGAACTTGTGTGTATGTATATATATATATATATGTATAGAAAATTAATAATTAAACAGTCAAACAAAATAAAATCAAAAGGAAGGGCTGCATTAAAAACAGCAAATCCAAACCTGTGGTAATGATATTTTAATGAACAAAATAAGCCCAAACAAAAAACAAAATTAAACTAAAAACTGCATAAATTATAAGGATCCCCAGGGTACAGGCTATAACATGGGATACACCATCTATCAGTCTTAACCTTTGTTTGCCAGTCTCACATGAAAACACTCATAAAAAAATAAAATAAAAAATGCTGCATAAATTAAAAGGATCCCTAGGGTACATGCTATAATGTGGAATATAAAATACGACCTGGGTTTTGGAGGTGACTGTGGAAGTAGAACCCACACTGTGGTGGAGATACACTATCTATCAGTCTTAGGAGACAACTTAGGAGACTTCCCTTT